CAGTTAACTATTCTTTCTTTCTTGCTCTCTTTCTTTTTTTAATTTCTCTTTAATATACTTTTTTGTTAAAGTGTGGGGGGGGGGGCTCGAGGCTCCCAATTCCCGCCGTTCCTCGGGCCCTGACATGTAGGAATCTCAAGAATCATATTTCTTGCCTGGCTGTAAATTTAGGAATTTGTCATTTTCCAACAAACGCATAAAAAAGTATAATTTACTAAAAAGTGAGGAAAAATCTCGGAAATTATGTAATTTCAGCATTATTGTAATCCACAATTATGGAATTAGAAATAAAACACGTTTGAATTTGATTTCCCCCAAGCCCCCCCCCCCCCCCCCCTCTATCAGTACGCCAGTATCTCCTATTTTCCTTTTTTCTTTCCCTTTCCTTCCTTCTCTATTATTTTTTTGATTGGGGGGGGGGGGCAACAGCCTGGGAGGCAAGGCCCTTTCGCCCCCCCCCCGATCTCCTTCTTCCCCCTTTTCTTTTCTTCTTCCTCTTCTTTCTTTCCCTTTCTCTCCTCTTTCCCTTTCCCTTCTTTTCCTTTCTTCTCTCTTTTATTTTTTTTTTTTTTTTGCCGGGGGGGGGGGCCAAGGCCCGCTCGGCCCCCCCCCCTGGATCCGCGCCTGGCTTATGATTACGGTCTCCTGCACTTTTCCAACAGAATAGTTCGGATAATACTTTAAATTTATGATAATATGTTATGGACATATTAGGTTTCGTTATTATATGTACATAATATTATGTAAAAAAAACATTTTGACATGTACAAATTATTGATTGTTTATGTTGTATTATACCTTACAGTTATATGTTCTTTGTTATTCAGTTATATTATGTTTGGAAAAAATGCAGAAATCAAATCAAATCAAAAACATGTCAATCCACCATCCCCTAGTTAAAAACAAGGGGAAATAGTGCAAAGTACAACTTAATTATTAAAAGTTGATTTCTATAAGTAAAAATAAGTAAGTAAAAATGAATATTTAAACCATCACACCAATAATATGCAAAGTATGATATTCAGGCAATATATTGACCATGTAAAGAGAGAGAGACAACTATTAAAATCATCTCTAATAACGTAATCACAATAAAGGGGCATATTCCCATGTCTAAAAAAATGAGTAGTTTTGCTTTGAGGTTTCCCTTGTTTCCAGAAATTGCTCCTTTGTGTCCCCCCCCCCCCCCCCCTTCAAGGAACGACTCTCCGCTGCGAGAGAGAGAGAGAGAGAGAGAGAGAGAGAGAGAGAGAGAGGTATAAGAAAAAGTAAGCCTATTATTCCAGACTGATGATTTACATTATTCACACGATTATTAATACTCCAATTACTGCGATTGTTCAGGCTCCATGCAGTAATGTATCAAACCTTCACTATTTCTCTTTTCTGCGTTCATTCAAGAGTGATTTCTGTAATCCTTCGCGGAATTTCTTTAAATTCAGTAGACCAATCGTTCAACAAATGGGATGATCAATGTTATCCCTTTTATGACCCCAGAATGGATGTAACCTACTTTTCTTCGCGCGCGCATGCAGTGGCGGACTTATTGGCGACGGGGGTTGGGGGTCGGGACGACTGGTTTAACCCAATTGGCCTCATAGTTATAGTAACCCCCCCCCCCCCCTTTGGAGCAACTTTATTTTGTCACTTCCCCACAGTCAGAAAAATTCCGGAATTATACCCCCCCCCCCCCCCCCCCCCCCCCCCCCACTTCACTGTTTCCGCCTGTTTTAGTGGACCATGATTACAGTGACAAAATTAAATATATAGGGCCTATCAAAACTTGATAGGCTTGTTTGGAATATCATAAAATCCGCAATATATTACAACCGGCGGTGCAAGTTTTTGAGGCCGGATGCGTATTGCGTTGGATGACGAAAGGCGATGTTCTGCTAATATTTATTCTGTCCGAATTATGTGGGCAGGAGCTTTAATTGCGTAACAGTTTTTTAATCATTTGCTTCAAACATCTATGCACTAATTACGGTATAGGCCTATATATACTTATGTCAATTTAAAGCTCTGAGGGATTACGGGTAAGAGAGTGACAAGATTATGATAATAGGGGGGGGGGGGGGAAATAATTTTACCATGCGTGACGTCGCACACCCTATAGATTATCTAAACTAAAATAAGAAGAAAAGGTGTAATAGGACATAAATTATACGTTCCATTTATAATCTTTCTATTTTAATAGTGCACCCACTTCTTTGCGATGACGTAGGTATGACGAACTTCTTGGGAAATACGCGTGGTATATATTGCGTAAGAGGAACGAAGATAGTCTTTACTCAAAGCTAAAGAGATTATTAAACTGCTACAACATAATAATATAGGTTTTCAAGTTAAAATACCGGAAATCAAATTTAACGGAATTTTCAAGTTTTAATTTTAACAATTTTTTGGGAAACATTCATTAAGCACGATCAAGAGGGGAAATAATGAATTCGAGAGCAGTCTTGATGAGCGGAGAGACTAAGCGGAAGTTAGCCAACAAAAGAAAATTAAGGTTAAAGACAAAATTTTGTTTCACACATGACTTTATGTCCACATGACCTGAACAGGAACAAGCCAGCTTAAATTTCAGAATGGAGTGGACGAGAGAACGATTAGGGATGAGGCCCAGTAGCCGATCAAGGGGCAGTTGGGTAGCCACGGAGGGGGGGGGGGGGGAGGGGCACGGGAGCGGGGCACGTGCCCCCCCCAAAAAAATAATAATCCAGGATCGGTTGAACTTTTTTAGACCCCCTTTTTGTTTTACCTCGATCGATTACATCATATGTGCCCCCAAACATCAAACTCTGGCTACGTGCCTGGCAAGTACCCCATCGGATATCCAGAAATTTTAAACAAAAAATAATGAGTGGAGAGCTGAAGGGAGCCGGAGAACTCGAGATTGCTCGGAAAACAAAGAATATACCAGTATCATGTGCCCCTCCACTTTTCAAGTACCCCAAAAGTGCCCCTTTTTATATATGAAAAGTGCCCCTTTAACTTTGTAAGAAGTGCCCCTTTTTCTTTGACAAGTGCCCCTATTTCAATTTTTAAAAGTGCCCCTTCCCCTCATCTCTGATAAGTGCCCCTTTTATTTTGACACATACCCCTTTTCTTTCGACACTGAGTTCTCATTTTCCTTTGCAATAAGTGTCCAAATTAATCTCTAGTAGGTGCCCCTTTTCAGGTACGAGAAGAGCCCTTTTCCACTTTTGAACAGCGCACCCTTCACCTCTGATAATTGCCCGATTCAAATCTGAGAGGTGTCGCTTTTACTATGACAAGCGCCCCCTTTTCTTTGTAAGAAAGTTTTCATCTCTAATAAATGCCCCTTTTATTTTGAATCGTCCCCCTCTTCCTTCCTAATAAATCCTTTTTTCCCCTTCTTATATGTTCCCCTTCCCCCCCCCCCCACCCCCACCTCAAAATTACCCATTTTCATCCCTGACGATAAGCCTGGCCCCATTTATTTTATGTGCCTCTCTTTCTTTTTAATAAGAGCCACTTCTTCCTTAAAAAGCACCCTTTCACTTCCGATAAATGCCCCCATTAAAATCTGATCGGTGCCCCTTCTCTCGATCTCAACAAATGCACATTCCCCTTTATTATAAGTGCCCCTTTTCAGATGCGATAAGTAGGCCTACCCCTTTCACACCTCTGATAATAACCCTAATAAGGAACTTCAGTTATCCCTTTTTCACAAATGCCCCTTTTCACTTCTTATAAATGCCCAGCTTTCAAAATCTGAGGGATTCCTTTTTTCCGTCGACAAATGGCCATTTCGCATTCTCATAAGTGTCTTTTTCATCCCATGGTGAGTGACTTTTTTTTTTAGCTGTAAGAAGTGCCCCATTTCACCACTGATAATTAGTCTTTGTACTTCGACACGTGCTCTTTTTCTTTAATTTCTAATAAGTGTCTTAATCACCCATTCAGTAAGTATCCCCTAAATTTTCCTCTCATCATTAAACGTGCCCCTAATTTCAAGCGACTGTAAGAGCTCGCTCGCATTTGTAGGTGTCATAATTTACTCATCAAAGGTCTTTTCAGTCTTCCGTTATGTGCTTTTAACCCTATCAGGATTGGGTTAATTTTTCCTTTTTATATATAAGATGTAGTTTTTCGAACGACGCGACCCGTCACAAATCTTAACAATTTCCCTCGCTCGCAAATGACTTTTCAGACCATCACACCAAACTGCACAATATGATGCTTAGCAATAATTATGATCTATATATAATAAGTTCTTGTATAGCGCATAATACGTTATGAAATAACATCTCGATCTATGCGCTTCCAAAGAGCTTTGGACTTTATTACCCTAGCTTTAGCTCTGGCAGCCTTATCAGCGCACAGTGCATTTCAAGGAATAATCCTACCAGCCTAAGAGAAACAAAATTGAAATCATCCCCGATAAAGTAATAAAAGTATAGGTGTATAAATTATACCAATGTCTAAAAAATGGCTTTGAGATTTCTCTTTGAAGGTGCCCTCCCCCCCCCCCACAAAGTGCCCTTTTTTTGCCACCCCCCCCCCCCACTTTGGAAGTCGCTATGCCGGTTCTGATCTGCCCTTACCCCCTGTAATCATCAGTGTTTCGTCGTCATTCGTAAAGACGCGACTTTTACTAGCCCATACTCAACATTTCCACCAGTTATACATGTAAAATTTATTTCGCAACATGGCAATGTCGACCACAAGTTGGGAAACCCGACTGTGACTACGTCATTATATTATTCCGCGAGTGAGTCGTTCAGAGCTGAAAGAGAGATATTTTCATGTTTTTGGAATTTATATTCAGATGAGCCCTCCAATCCATTTTAGATTAGAAAATTCAATACCGTTAACGTGGATTTTTATTCGCCTAATAATATTTATGGAAGAAAGTACCAATAAACTAAGAACTAGTTTTTTACTGTGTATGAATATTGTGATACTCACTACCTTTCAAGGGAACAATATAATTTCTACCCGGCCTTTCTCTGCTCAAGTAGAATTTCTGAAGAATGTCTTACATAGATGACGAACAAGCGTGAGTATTTCTCATCTTTCTTTTACTCAAATTCGATTGCAATTCATATTATATATTAAGAACGAGATTTCTGTGATGGTGTGTGAGTATGGTGGTGAGAGAATGTAAGGATCATGTGAAAAATTGATGATTTTTATGTTGTAAAAAATATGCCGGGTGGCATTTCATTCATTCATTCATTCATTCTTTGGTAATACACGCGCGCTGCGTGAGTAAATTAGCACGTGTGAGTGCAAGAGCTAGGCGCGCCCTTCACCAGCGAGTGAAATGTCATGAATGTGACTTGTTGGAAGTCCGAAGTTTGATCCATTTTGAAATGAGACTTGTGGCTTTTTCCTTTATTTTGTTTACAATTGGTGCTCTTATTTTATATCTAGATTAGATATGATTTATGAGTACAGGATCTTCATGATTAAAATAATAATTTACACAAATTCCAGCTTGAACTTTGAAGTTGAAACTGAATGAAAGACATGATCAATTCAACATGTTCCATTTAAGTGAAATGAAAAATGGTTGTCAGAACATTTTCTGGCGCTAGTGTAGCAAGGTATCCAAAATATAGCCTACTAAAACAGACCTCAAATTTTAGACCCCAAATTTCGTGTTTATCATTATCTCTAGGGTTAGGGTTAGGGTTAGGGTTTACAAAAGTATAAACAGATCTTCCCCTACATTATCATTAACAATTGTAGCAACTGGAATTTTAACCAGATGGCCAGATTATATCGTGCAAACTTGCTCCAAACCTGATGCATTCATCATCAAATATTGGCTTCCCGTTTGCAGATATTAAGAATCCCCAATGCCTCTAGAGTCATTTTTACATGTATATCAGTTATGTGATGAGAAGACTCTGGAAGTACATCTTTATCTTTGACATGAATTTTTATTATAATTTTGACTTGTCAAGGAGACTAATTATTGTAAGATTTCATGTGACAGCTGGTTGGAGGTTAGGCCTACAACTACACAAGCAGGAAGTTTTACTGCCACCATTTTGGCTTCTGTAAACTCGACTTCTGCCCAAGCTGTAAACTGAGCAGCCATGTTTTTACTTGCACCTCTCACTTTATTTTTTTGTACATAGACCTACTCTGTAACTTCACTGTCGGTCATACTCGTACTAGACTTTCAATGCACCCCAATATAGCTTTCAGAGTGAGCTGCAAAAGAATTAATACTTCCAAGATTCAACTTTCAAGAACTTTTAGTTTAATGGCAGAATTTTAATTTCATGATTGAACATGCTTTTGCCGGTTTGGGATGGGCAACGAATGTCAAGTAGAGTCTCAGACTGTCGGACATGCCTGAATACTTGGAAACCTCCATATGGCTCCATTCATTTACTAGTAATCCATCATCAGTGATCATTCAAGTTATTAATTTGATCTCATTTTTAAAAAGAAAGAATTGTCAGGAAAGTGTCTCATCAAATAAATTGAGCCGGTTGTTCTTGTGGCATAGAGTAAATATATTTCAAAAACTAGTAATGGGCAATTCAAATTTTAGTGACTGGGAGAGCATCTGGGCTGGGCTAACTCTGTACAAGGCCAGGGTCAACTCAGACTGCTGAAAATGATCATATAGTTCTCTAAGCGAACAGATTTGATTGCAAATAATCTGCTGAATTTTTGCATTCATGTTTGTCTTTAAGAACAGCAAGAACACCCACTTGGAAAAAAAAATGAAAATACATGTAGTTTTAAATTCCAAAAGGTTAATATTGGAAAGTCTAAAGGGGCAAAATTTATACAAACTGAAAAAATAATGACTACTAAGATGCCCATCTTATACTAGCTTGCACTTCGAATTTCGAAACCTTTTCACTGAGTGATATTGAGTCAGCCCAGCCCCATGCAAGATCCAAATAGTTTTCTCAGCTAGTGACAAATTTAATGTTATCTTTCCGTCTAAAAAATTGAATCTAAGATAAATATATAAAAAACGATGTTACAAATTTTCAATAAATTTTTCTTCAATTTCATTGACACAATAAAGCTTCACTAAAGGTCCAGTGATTTTTAAAACTTTATTTATGGGATTAATTTATTATTCCATACTTCATATAAAAGGGAGGGGGGTCAAACTGCACAGATGTGTGTGTGTATAAATCAATGAAGGGGGTTTCAAGTAGACATGCAATTATCTTACAATTTTTGCTGATATCATCCTCGAGAAATTGTTTATGGGATCTAGATCTACATGTACACTGATTTTATAAATAATATCTCAAATGAGAATTATGAAGTAAAATGTTCCATTGCTATTTGTTTAATTTCTATTTTTTATTTTATTTTATCCTGCAGGAATTCCCAGGTTACAAAACCCGGACCTGGACCTGGAGCAGGGCCTGATGAAAATGGGAGACAAGCCGAGGACCAGGGTATTGTCACCGTAGAGGATGGAATCATTGATGTAAATATGCTGCTTTTTTTTCAATCTCCACTCCACTTTTATTTTTAAAGCCTCTAATATGGCCCCTCTTGTGTACTTGACTTTGGTGACTCATTGCCAATATAGAGGGTTCAATAAACAAAGGATTTGTTCCTTCCTTTGTTTCCATTTCACATTGTCTATTGTTGGATCTTCATGCAGTCGAAACTATTTTTTGTTAATGTGAGGGTACTTACCAAGTCAACATGTAGGATTTGTACTCTTCCTGGTACAAGTAGTGACTAATTTTGTTTGTTTCGTTTAATTTTGGGTTGTTTCCCAAATCCATGCATAGCAGTTAGCTCATCAAAGTGTAGGATTTGTACTCTTCCTGGTACAAGTAGTGATTAAATTTGTTTGAGTTGGGGTTTTTATTTCCCAAATCCATGCTTAGCAAGCAGTTGGCTCGTTACGAATGAAAAGAAAGGTACTCAGGAATTTGAACTCTAACCTTTTGAATTTGCTGTGGAACAATAACCTTTGACCTCACATATCTTCAATTAAGTATCAAAATGATTAGGCCTAGGTAAAATAATCAAGGTAGGCTGAAAAAAGACAGGTCCAGAAACTAGATATTATATATATTATAAAGACATGATCAATTCAACATGTTCAATAAAAGTGAAATGAAAAATGGTTGTCAGAACATTTTCTCCATTCAAGTGTTTTGGGTTCTCTATTTTAGGCTACAAAAGTATAACCAGATCTTCCCCTACATTATCATTAACAATTGTCGCAACTGGAATTTTAACCAGATGGCCAGATTATATCTTGCACAAAAGTTGCAAACTTGCTCCAAACCTGATGCATTCATCATCAAATATTGGCTTCCCGTTTGCAGATATTAAGAATCCCCAATGCCTCTAGAGTCATTCTTACATGTATATCAGTTATGTGATGAGAAGGCTCTGGAAGTACATCTCTATCTTTGACATGAATTTTGATTATAATTTTGACTTGTCAATGAGACTAATTATTGTAAGATTTCATGTGACAGCTGGTTGAAGGTTAGGCCTACAACTACACAAACAGGAAGTTACTGGCGCCATTTTGGCTTCTATAAACTCGACTTCTTCCCTTGTAGACTGAGCAGCCAGGAGAACAAGTCCAGAAACTAGATATTATTTTTTATTTAACTTACTTGATAAAGAGAGTAATCCCTGTCATGATCAAAACATGAATCTACGAGCTATCAATCTTAGAAAGAATTTGCCATAAATTTGCTTTATGGCATTCATGTTTCTTCTGCCCGCCATATTTCAATGTTATTTTTGTATCGATATGTTTTTATCATGTTTTAATGGGATTCCCTTTCTCTATCTCTCTAGACCAACTGGGATCAAGTGGTAGAAAACTTTGATGACATGGGGCTGAGAGAATCGCTCCTCAGGGGTATCTATGCCTATGGTTTTGAGAAACCATCTGCAATCCAACAGAGGGCGATATTGCCCTGCTGTGAAGGTAGGTTCAGAGGCGGCAAAGGTCGTAGATAGAAAGGTTATTTAAATGGAGATAGAGTGTTCTGTTTGACGCACCTCGTCTGTTCACGTTTGAGTTAAATGATCCCTAGTCCGACTTATGTGCCGCAGAGTTTTTTTAATTCTATTTTATTTTTTTCCCCTTGCACTTTTTGCTTATGTTTTTGTAAATAAGAAATTGTACAATCCAATGTTGACACCCAAGTCCTCCACTTGGTCCTGTCACAGTGGCTTGAAGGAGCTGAGTCCTTGTGACACTTACCATGATGTATGGTCCTCCGCCACGACATTGGAGAGCAACCTGGTCCCCTTTTGTCACTCCTCCGCAAGGAGCAGTAACATCTGGTGTGGACCTGTCCTTGCATATTCCTTGTATTTCCCAGAGTCACTCTGTGACAATGACTGGGGAGTTAAACCATGCGAGGGACATTTTGTGTCTAGTACTAAAACAACTCTTGATTTTTATCTCGAAGTACAAGCATTCAACCCAGAAATTGGTTTGATGTACCAGAACTTGTAATAAGTTAATTTGTATGAAAGCAAAAAAAGAATAGAAAGAGAATGGCAAAGTTTTGAAATTAATCTGACCAATAGTAAGGAACTTGTGAATGTTTGAAATATGAGCTCACCAAGTCTATGCGAATCCCAAACTGGTCGTTTGGTCAGTGGGTTGTTACGTAGGATGTGGATAACTCTCCCATTTGCTGTGTACACAAATATTAATTTCAGTTTTCTTTTAAGTTACTTCTATCTTGGGGCACTGCTCAAAATATATTTTAGATAGCATATCATTTGGGGTTGTTTATAGTACAAAGTTGCCATTTATTTAATGTCTTTTAAAATGAAGGAGCTGTGGTTCACCTCTTCGTATCTTTAGATAGACGGGAGGCCACTGCAACAGGTTTGACTGTACTCTACCTATCATTGATTTCTGTGTATTTTTCCAATGCAGGAAAGGATGTTATTGCCCAAGCCCAGTCCGGAACTGGTAAGACGGCAACCTTTGCTATCTCCATCCTCCAACAGCTCAATGTTGAGGAGAAGCAGTGCCAAGCCCTCGTCTTGGCCCCAACCAGGGAGTTGGCCCAACAGGTAAGTCCAGGGAAAAAATAAATATTTATTTTTCGGGGGCTACTTTTCAACCTTGCCTGCATGAAAATAACATTCTAAAATTTGTTTTTCATTGAACTCTGCAAATTTAAGGGCATTCTTTTGGGCATTTCGGGGCTATTTCGCCCTTAGCCCCCGTGTATTTTTTTCACTCGGTTAGTGTCGAGTTGAAGTCTGGCAATAGAGTGTACAATTGTTCTAGGTCTTGTAACACCTAGCCAACAAATGTGCGTACAATCATAAGAATAATTTGCATGATCAATTTCTAAGCTTTGTGTTATTTATGGGACCCAGTTTGGTAGAAACAGAAACTGGGCCCTGACAGGGCTTTTGTTTTACTGTCATTTTTATAGATGGTCAAAACTATTCCATAGCTACAAACGGTTTTTATTTTGTGGATGGATAAAGTGTTGTAGAATTGTACAGATTAATTTTCGTCCGATGATAGAATCATTTGAAATGTTTGAGCACGACAAATGCCACAGCTGTTTTTTTTTTTGGTGCCATTTGACTTGATCCAAGAAAATGGATATGTTTGGAATTCTCAAGTTCTGTATTCCTTCCACAAAAGCACCTGCACTGTAGCAGTGCTTCTCAGGAAGCATTGCCATGACATTGAAGGTTGTCGTTGGGAGGTAGATTAAACAGCTTTGCATGTGGGTGAGATAAGAAACAGATCATGTAACTCATCTCAATTTGCGATGCTATACTATATCAGCTCAATGACTCTGGTCTGGTAAAAGAAAATGAAGGGTGTACATTTAAAACCCTGTGAGGCAAATTCCCAAAGAATTCTTGTAGAGAAAAGGTATACAGATGATATAGCCATTCATTATGTAAAATCCCAACCGATTTCATGGATTTATTGTAGCCTTTGAACATTCATATGAACTTGACTGAAAACTGAACAGTAATATAAATTAAAGGACATGATAAAGACGAAGTGGGCAAATGACAAGACTACCCTTTTCTCTTTAACAGATTCACAAGGTAATTGTGGCCCTCGGCGACTACCTAGAAGTGAAGTGCCACCCCTGCATCGGAGGCACCAATGTCCGTGATGACATGAACCTCCTGTCCGAGGGTGTGCAGGTCATCGTAGGCACCCCAGGCAGGGTGTTTGACATGCTCAAAAGGAAGGTCCTCTCGCCCTTCAAGATCCGCATGTTTGTCCTGGATGAAGCCGATGAGATGTTGTCCAGGGGTTTCAAGGACCAGATCTACGATGTCTTCAGCTGGCTCCCATCAGAAGTACAGGTATAAAGCCAACAATCATGAAATTTTGTTGAGATATGACTTAGTAAACTTGTTTCAAAAGGAGGGGAAAATGCCACTGCTAAATAAAAACCCGGTTTCTTGTAAATCAATGTTAATAATGGGTTTTTTATGCCTCCTTGGTCACACAATGTTCATACTAATTTTTTTGGGTGATCCAACATTTTGCTCCAAGAACAATCCCTGCAGGATTTATGTTTTCAAAGATACAGGGTTCGAGTTAATGTTGTCATTTTGGGTTTTAGATGAGGTATAGGTATCTGTATGGTAAGGACATGGGTTTGGTTTAGGCCGAGGTAGTTACCGCATAGCGTTTGGTACTGGAGCATGCCTTGTACAACCATAGTCTTGATGGAAGAATTGATTGATTGCAAACCTTTGATGATGATCCTGTAAATTAGGTTGAGGTCTTACTATCTATTCTTGATAGATTGATGACTTACATTTGCTGAAAAGGAATCATTTTCTCTTTCCCCATCATTTAAAATTATGGAACATCTCGTCTTGTTTCATGAACAGTGGATTACATTGCTCTGCAGAGTTAACATCACTGTAACTTTGAAGGATATAACTATCAGTATGTATCATAAATTATTTGTTGAATAGACAAAAATATATAGCCATAAAACTATTTAGGATTAACATACAAAAAATGCCTATAGATAATCTCACTTATCCCAATCTGTATAATAGCTGTAGTGAGGCCAGCTTTATCTTGAACCTTTATAATTGGTGTGTCCTTGCTTCCAGGTTGTACTGCTGTCTGCCACCATGCCGGTTGACGTGCTGGAGGTCACCAAGAAGTTCATGAGAGATCCTATCAGGATCCTGGTGAAGAAGGAAGAACTGAGTTTGGACGGTATCAAGCAGTTCTACATCGCCGTTGAGAAGGAGGCAAGTCTTACAGGAAATGGAGATGAAAGGGACACAAAACGGGAGAGAGGAGGATGGGAGAGCATCTTTATAGAAGATGGTTTATTATTGCAGTCTAAATCAGAAGTTTTCGAAGTTTTTTAAATTCAAATACCTGTTTGCGAACCTCTTTATTTCATGAAAGGATACTTTTTCATTTGCTCATGGGATTATTTTTGTCATAGGGTGAAGGTTGCTGAGTTGCAATTGATCTTCAGGAAAGGGTTAGGTATACCACTATGAACATGACGGACAAAATATACAGTTCCTCATTCTACCCTTAACAATTGCTGTGGTAGACAAAGGAACATCCCTTCACTGCTATTATGAAAAAATGTGTAGAACGGGTGAATATGTATGCGACACCTGTTCTACACATTTTTACATAATAGCAGCAATTGTTGAGGGTAGAATGAGGAACTATATATTTTGTCCGCTTTCTTTGTCCGTCATGTTCATAGTGATAGCTTTGGGTCTAGAGTTGAAGCGAAGAATTTGGTCGGGTTAGGAAATGATGCAGTTCCTTGCAACGAATTCATAATGGAATCTGTAAAGAAAAGGCATGTATAGTGATTGTTGTGTGAGTACATTGATGTGAATTGTTATGTTGTAAATAAGAAATTGTACAATCCAATGTTGACACCCAAGTCCTCCACTTGGTCCTGTCACAGTGGCTTGAAGGAGCTGAGTCCTTGCGACACTTACTATGATGTATGGTCCTCCGCCACGACATTGGAGAGCAACCTGGTCCCCTTTTGTCACTTCTCCGCAAGGAGCAGTAACATCTGGTGTGGACCTGTCCTTGCATATTCCTTGTATTTCCCAGAGTCACTCTGTGACAATTACTGGGGAGTTAAACCATGCAAGGGACATTTCATACTACAATAACTGTATTAACGTAGTTCAGGACTAATTTCTTAACTGTTCTAATTTTTAAAAATTCCTAGATATTGCCCCCCCCCCCCCAAAAAAAGACAAGACAAAGGAGCAGTCAGCAATGTATTTCTGGTGAGCTCTTAAAGAGCCTTGGTGGGGGGGGGGGGGGGGGGGACTGAAATCACATCTTTTGACAGGAGAACCAGAATAGAATTGTTGTGTAACCACTATTTTCTTCTCATTCTTGTAGGAGTGGAAGCTCGACACCCTGTGTGACTTGTACGAGACATTGACCATCACACAAGCCGTCATCTTCTGCAACACCAGGAGGAAAGTCGATTGGCTTTGCCAGAAGATGCACGAAAGAGACTTCACTGTTTCCATCATGGTAGGTTTTACCAAAGGCATTCCCTCTGTTTTGCGCAGCTGGCAACGAATCTGATTTTGAAGTAAAATTTTTGACCTTCAAACCGTGTAATGAACCATAATTTTATCTTTTTCTGAAAGTTCTTACTCTTTATGCTTATGTTATTGTAAATAAGAAATTATAAAATCCAATGTTGACACCCAAGTCCTCCACTTGGTCCTGTCACAGTGGCTTGAAGGAGCTGAGTCCTTGTGACACTTACTATGATGTATGGTCCTCCGCCACGACATTGGAGAGCAACCTGGTCCCCTTTTGTCACTTCTCCGCAAGGAGCAGTAATATCTGGTGTGGACCTGTCCTTGCATATTCCTTGTATTTCCCAGAGTCGCTCTGTGACAATGACTGGGGAGTTAAACCATGCAAGGGACATTTTCATGTCTAGTAATATAAAAACTCTTGATTGGAACTTGATGCCTAATGATAATTGCAAATTCTTCTGGAATAAGAAAGGTACTGTTCCATAACAGATTACTTGAGAAGATTTTGAAACTAAAATCATTACTTCAAGGCAGTAGTTACATATCTGTAAATGTAAATGTGATTTCAGGTTACATACATGTACCCTTCATTTCACTGAAATTAGTGTTAATGATAATAAACTTAAACAGCATTTGTTTGTTCCTGCATCCCATCCTGAAGACAACCTCTCTGCTTACAAATTCCCCTCTCGAGTGCTCAGAATAAGTTCCATCACCCATCCAAACTTTGCTTACCTGTAACAGTATTGATGTCTATGGTTCAGATATCTTTTACAAAAAAAATTCTGTGACGAATCTAAAATTTGTTAACTGTGACTGTTTCAATGTCTGGTTCTGAGGAAGATGTCTGAACCATAGACAGAAAATGTCTTGGGTGAACCAATTTTAGATGTGTCATAGATCTTGCTCTTTTTTTTTAATGCCCGTCTGCACTAGTTTGGCCAGGGGGATTAGACCTCCCTGCAAGGTCACTGACAGGCGGTTATCTCATCAAAACAGCTCTCAATTAACATAAGAAAAAGGGGATCATGGGGGACCAACAGGCACCGAATAGGCATTGTTTGCTTATAGAGGGCACAAGTAGCTATAAGTAGTGCAACAGTTCTGATAACCCATTCATCAATCTCTCTTTACTACTATTTTTTCCATGCCTTGTTTCTTCGTCAGCACGGAGACATGGACCAGAAGGAGAGAGACAAGATCATGAAGGAGTTCCGCACTGGCTCTAGCCGAGTGCTCATTTGCACTGACCTGCTGGCTCGAGGAATCGACGTCCAGCAAGTCTCACTGGTCATCAACTATGACCTCCCTACCAACAGGGAAAACTACATCCACAGGTCAGTTCTTCAACATTCCGTACAATTTCGACTTATCTTATACCCCATTCACAGTGGCCTCAAACACCGCGACAGCAGCGGGACTGTCCCGCTGCTGTCGCGGTGTTGTCTTCAGTGTGAAGGCTCGGACCCGTTATAAACTATCGCGCGATAACGCCGCGACAAACTATCGCTAGGTTCGCCTAGCTACAGCAGCGGGACAGTCCCGCTGCTGTCGCGGTGTTTACTCAGTGTGAAGGCTCTCCGCTATAACACCGCGACAAACACGTGTGATTTGTTTACTTACCTATCACTGACCTCTTTTCTCCAGCAATGGGGAACATAAAGTGAAATAGAAATAAAGTAACCAGTGGATTCAAATAGATTTTATTATTATGTAGATATTATAATTATCCAAATAAAAATATTTCACACTTCAAAAAATTAAAATATTCTGACTGGAAGCAATAAAAATGCTAGTTTTTTAAAAAGTAATATGATCGAGGATACAAAAAGCAACTTGACATGTTTACCTTTTGTGTAAAGTACAGCTAGCGCGCGCAATTTCAAGCAATCGAAAACCCCGCGCTGAAGTATTTCCGGTCATATCGGGGTCACTCGCGGGTCATGAGCCATGCATACACGTGTTTGTTACGGAGGTAATAAAAATCACCCGCTGCAGCGTGAATGAGTACATGATATTTATCCCGCTGCTGCAGCGGGATAACTTTTCTACTGTGAATGCATTTGTAGCGGTGTTATGGCGGTGTCGCCGCTACAAATTTCAAAACCACTGTGAATGGGGTATTATATGATAAATGTCTTCAGTATACTGTAAAACCCAAACTTTCGGTTTATTGATACATGTATGTTCAAATGTATGGATGTTTTCCCCGAGGACCAATTGATGTAACTATTAACCTGTTAATGAATGAACTACAATACGTGCATATATATTACTTGTTATGTTGGGCAAGGCTCTGGCAAGCTTTCAGGTTGTCATGAACAACCTTAGTATAACAAATATGCCTAAATATTTTGGCAAACCTATCTATTGAAGACCAATGATTTTTAATACACTGCAATTCAGTTTCATGTTAGGTTAGATAATAGAGACAGTGGTTGGACCAGGGTTAAATGAATTTGGGAATTCGTCAAGAAAGTGACTAGGAAGGAACAGTTGTTGCAACAAGTGTTGTAGATTTGTACAGACTTACTTTTCCCCATCATAGAATCATTTTAAATGTTTGGGCATGACAAATGCCACTGCTTTCTTGTGGTATTTGACTAGTTCCAAGAAAATTGATATTTCTGGAATTCTCTAGTTCCGAATTCCTTCCACAAAAGCACCTGCACTGTAGCAGTGCTTCTCAGGAAGCATTGCCATGACATTGAAGGTTGTCGTTGGAAGGTAGATTAAACAGCTTTGCATGTGGGTGAGATAAGAAACGGATCATGTAACTCATCTCAATTTGCGATGCTATACTATATCAGCTCGATGACTTTCGTATGGTAAAAGGAAACAAAGGGGGTACATTTAAAACCCTGTGAGGAATCCTCATTTTTACAAATGCAAATTCCAAAAGAATTCTAGTAGAGAAGAGGGTATTTTTACACATAAATGTGTACTCTGATTCTAATAAGAAAGGAAAAAATATTCTTTTCCTGCATTATGTAACTTCATATCATGTGCTCATCCTTTGTCCATGAAAAAAAGAGATTTGTTTATTGATTGTCTCTATCATCGTAACTAATGGAGTTTCCCTTCTCTTTCTTTCCCTGCTTAGGATTGGCCGTGGAGGCCGTTTCGGTCGCAAAGGAGTGGCCATCAACTTTGTTCCAGATGAAGATAAGCGCAACCTACGGGATATTCAACAGTTCTACAATACTCAAGTAGACGAGATGCCCAGTAATGTTGCCGATCTGGTGTAGAGGATAGAGAGTGAGACCCGTCAATTTCGTTCATGCGTTCTTCAAAGCGATATCAATGCGATTCTACTGATGTGACTGATGATGCCAGTGATGCGATACAAGTGATGTTCTGATATTGGAATACCCTTTTATCTCAAACTTTTTTTGACGGATATCTTGGAAATGTGAAAAAACTGACTAACTGAACAGCATTCCTCAACTTATCACGGAAAGAGATTTATATCTCTTTCAATTCTATTTTGATATTTGTGTTGGAGACAAAGGACGAGAAAGACTCGGTCAAGGGCTATAACCCTTGCATCTTGGGGGTCACCACTGGTGACCCCCTAGATATATTGTTAATAGTAATACGTCTGTGTAGATTATAGGTAAAGTATATATCTCTTTGTGCTTATGACACGTGTAATGTGATTGATATTACAATTTGATAAGTCGTTTTAAACAGGATATTTCTCCTTATTTACATTCTGTTGTAGAGAATATATCGTAATTTAAACAAGAGGGTTTTGTAGTTGTAAGGGGTTGCAGGGCGGGGGGTTTATGTTCTGTTATTAGGGGGCAGTGTGTATTTATTGCTAAAGCAATTATGGTAATCCGCAAGTTAAATTTTGGAGTCGACTCTATGTGCTGCTGTGGTATAAATATGAAAATGTTGGCGTGTCAGCATGTTGAACAAATCTGCCATCTTGCAAAAGAACGATACCTTACTCTAATTATGATGTGCCACGTGTTGCATGTGTTTATAAATTGTTGTCACATGTTTTGTTCTTTGTTACGTAGCTTTGTAGTTCATTTGTTTCTAAGACGAAGTGAATCCTTCAAATGCTTCAAGTACAGAAGGAAAGATAGATGGCATTTCTTTACTTGGGTAATATTTTTTTATAGTGTGATGATGAAAGTGCTCTGTTGGACAAAGTAAGCTGTATACTATCCATGGCTGCAAAGCGTTACGCAGAATGGTTCATGAAGATTGAATTACATGAAACCATTGTTTGTGCTTGCTAAAGATCTAACCATTTTCTAGACCTGCTACGTGATATACACTTACAGTAATTGAACACCTTGAAATGCCTTCTCTGTGATCTTATGATTTCTCTGATTTTACTACATTTTTCTTCAATTTGTTTTCCCTTTTCTTTCTTATGCATTTTCTGGTGGATGTATTTATTTGATAGACATTTGTCAATGAAATCGACTTCTAATTTTATTTACAGCTTTTAACATGTTCAATTTGATGATATTCTTGCATTCTGCCGTGGGTTGAACAGTAAAAGAAATACCGGTATCCAATTTTTGATAAGAGACAAACTTAATGAGATTTTGATCAGTTGCTCATTTCCAACCAAAAATCTCTTCTGGAAAATAGTTGTGGCATCTTCACTCCTGTGAGTATTTTAATCAGGACACAAGGTATTCAATATTGATCCAATTTATCTAACCTATCATGTTGATAGTTGGTAAATCTTTTGCAAAGCTCACTAACTACTGCTGTATAACACACGTGCTTGTGGCCTTGTGCACACCGTGTGCCCCGTTATCACGAAGCTTAGCAAATGATAGTACAATTAGATTTCACGATTTTGATGTTGAATCATTCACAAAAAATTATTTGTAAGATCATTTGCTACTCTTTGTGTTGTTGGGCCGTGGTTTGTTTTCCAGTTTAGAATCATAGATGCAATGCAACAATGTTTCTTATCTAAGTGACCGGAATACATCGTTTGTTTGGCACCAGGAGGGCATTGTAAATGGTATAATTTGAAAGCCCTTCAGGTGCCAAACAGACACATTTTGCAAGATCCCAGGATGTGCTTGATATCGTAGCTGATTTAGTTTCATTTCTAGTTCAACCCTTGATCAATGACAACATGTTTCCTCAGATTTGCCAACGGCGTGATTATACCTGAATATGTAATGGTGCACTTTCTATGTACAATCCTAGTAAATAAATGGCTAAAATTAATTCACATAATGTAATTTATGTCTCCTGCTTACTGATGTTTTTTATTACAGTGGTATGTTGTGATAACTTACGTAAACTCTCATTATAATAATAATATTCGGCTTAATACATTGGCAATGTCTCTAAGCGCTCTACAGATATACTATTACCCCGGTCATTGAGTCATCGTTTTACAGACCGTCACAATACTACTGCATTAACTTTCGCATCCTACCGGGTAGTCGGGTACCCATTTAACACCTGGGTGGAGAGTGGCGAATATACATTGATGTCTTTCCAAAGGACGTTAGTGCCGAGCTGGGATTTGTACCTTTACATGTGATCTGCAGTCGGGTGACTGGTCCCTCAAATCCTATTGGTTTTTAACCTAGAACAAAGTTACGTCATTCTTTCGATGAGCGGTTCCAAATTCGCCAAGAGTTTTCCAAGAATCGGCCTATGTGTAATTTCCCTTTTTATAGGAGAGCAGGATATTTTCTATTTTTGTTTAACCCTTACTGTACTGGGGGGGGGGCCTGGGAGGCCCCCCCCCTCGACATTTTCGGAGATTGCGCCGCAACCGCTTGAAATTTTGAATTGTCGTTTCATGACTTTTTTCCCTCAAGTCTTACGCACGTTTTGATACCATTTTCGTCGCAATCGAATATACCTGTGAGATGTTACATAACGTTTAGTATGCACATGTCATCAAAAATATGCTATAATTGCATATATTCATGTACAAGCAGAAATGTGTATACAGGTTTAGATGTATTCCTTCCTAAGTGGGTGATATGAATTGATATCGAATTGCTTTTATATGTTTCTCAAAGTAACTTGATGTATTCCAGAACAAAAGAATACATAAGAAATAAAAACAATAGATATAATAAGAAATAAAAAAACAATAAAATACATAAGAAAATAATAATTTGAAAATCGCATTAAATTTGCATAAATTATCATTATTAATTACATCAAAATAAATATTTTGTGTTAGAAAAGAAGTTTCATATGAATAATGAGTTTCAACATTCAAAAAGTGGAGTTTGACACATTTTCTGTAAAATGCATAAAATTAGCATTTTGCATAATTAATTAGGCTATAACGACAAAAATTTGCATATTCGCAAAAAACTAATTACACCATCTTGTTCGTTACGTAAATATCTACAAACATGCAAATTTTCGTGTTCATCGGACATCCGACGGCCGAGATCATAGGGGGGGGGGGCCTACCAGGCCCCCCTCCCCCCCCCCCCCCCCCAGTCAGGAGGTGCTCGAAATAGCCCAGTACAGTAAGGGTTAAATGTCTAATTATCTCGTTAAAACAAAAATCTCGTAGTCATGAAAGCTACAAGCGATTTGCTGCACCATAGGTTTGCATGTGGAATTCCCCTCGTTACAATGAAATCTCGATATTTTTGAGCTTGATGAGAGTCCCCTCTATGACAATGACAGGAAATACATAATTATTATGCAAGTTATATGTGTTTTAAATTTCAGCATGGCAGTCGTGCTGAAATTGCACTGTACCATACCAATTTGAAATTAATTGAATTAAACTACATGTACATGCATTCTGAGTAACTAGGGTCAGAATGTTTAAAAATCCTTGGTTACATACCGGTACATACAATTTTGGGCAGCAAAACTTGGGTTAAGGGCACTTTGGTAGTCCCCTCCCCCCCCCCCCCCTTCCACCTTCCACCTTCCACCTCCTACCCGATCGACAATTTTATATTTTCGTAATGTACTGTCACGATGGCTCTTCCTTTTGACACACTTGGATCCGTGGGACTTTTAAAGGGGAAAACAACACTTTCTAGGGGGTCTGGGACCATGGGTGTCGATCCGTAACTGATACCTATTCATCAGGGGGGGGGGGGGGGTGATCTATTCATTCATCCCCCCCTGATGAATAGGTATTACGTAAGTATCGACACCCATGCCCTGGACCTACTTCATGGTCAAACTCCCCTTCCCAACGGATTTTTTTTTTGTCGTTTGTGTGGGTGTGTGTGTGTTGTACCATGGACCTACTAGTACTGTCCAGTCATAATACTACATACTGACAAGTTTACGAAGCTGTTCATGATGACCATGGCCCGACCGGAGATGCCGGTATCTCCAGTCGGGCCATGTTTTAGTGTGGGGGCATGGGGTATAATGATATCGACCCTACTTTCAGGGTATGTTGTGGACGGGGGAGGGGTCTTGTGCCCGACAATCATTTGCTAAGAAGGTCTAAGAAACTCACAAATTTCGCTAAAATGTGGTCGAATGTCGGTAGTAAGCTCGAGTAAGTTACTAGTAGTAGTATCACAAAGTGAATCATTTATCATGAGAGGGTTTAAACCTACTACCACCGGACCACGCCATTGCCACGGTTAACGTATCTATATATACAAGTGATAGTCAAAATCACAAAAAATATGGTTAGTATTTTCTGTTTGTATCCTTTTTTATACTTAAAGAAGAAATGCTTCTCTCGTATCTTTATCAAATGTATAGCATTGAATATTTTGTGTTAAAATCAACAAATAAAAATTCTATTGTGATTACTTCTTTACTCAACTTTATGGAAAACAACAAAAAGTGACAAATTGAAAGCTAACCACTGATATGAATATTCAGCAGAGCATCACGTGATTAAGGTTGATGCATATTCATGAGCCCAGTTCCATAATGGCTGGCTTGAACTGGCAGTTCTAAGTGTGTAATAATAATATTAATAGTAATGATTATGATATAATATTAGTAATGATAATGATAATGATAATAACTTTAACAATGATAATAACTTTAACAATGGCAAAAATAAAAACAAAACTACCAAATATCAAAGAAAAAAAATGAAAATATGATAACCAAGTATTAGGAGCGCTATGAAAATCTCTAGTCAACTTTGCCAAGATCGACTCGTTTGCAACATATTTCCCTCAATATTCATTGCTTCATATAGGCCTATTTTCATATTATTTATTGTCCTTTTTTATTCCGATGAATTTGTTTTCCTCATGCCCATATATATGTACAATGTGTACACATGTATAAACATATTTATGTATGCAATACATGCACCATCATATATACTTCAACGCAAAATATCTTGAACTTTTAAAAAAAAATGAGACTGCCAATTGAGGTCAACTGTTTTCATGTTTGATATATCCATAATCGTTCATTTTTATAAACATATTTTCATGAATCAACAGAAAATATTTATCCTGGAAATGGAATGGGTGTCCGATTAAAAAACATACATAGCATATAATCAACACATTGGGCCCGTTTGTGACTGATATTTGTTTAAATAGCATATCTGCACTAGTTTGGTCAGGAGGGATTAGACCTCACTGCATGGTCACTGGCAGGTGGATATCGCACCAAATCAGATCTCAATTAACATAAGAAAAGGGGGAACATGGGGGACCCGAATAGGCATTGTTTGCTATATAGAGGCCGACTCTCCCAGAATATATTTTCAATCTGATTTCAAGAACAGAAAATTCATTACATTTACACACAGCTATACTTTTCGTATTGTTCTTTATAACAAGCAAACCGATATATTATGTTACGATAAAATATTGACTTTTGTGGTTCAAAACAAAATATCGTTTCTAGAAACCAGAAAGGAAAAAACAACATTCTTTTTAGTTTTAGAAGCTTACGAGGAATTCCATAATTTGCATATTAAAGCGAGCCCTCTGTTGCTTTAAACAAGCACCACATGAAGCCGCGCTATCAATCATCAGCAGCAGATATACACTTGAGATTGTACTGAAAAACATCGACCGTATTCCTGTGTATGGTGTGAACATGCAAGTAAGTTTGTGATTTTATGTTAATTAACTTATTGATCAATTCATGCTAAAACTAGATCGGTAGTCAAACAGACATTCTTGAGGTGATGTTGGACGAGATCTCCGGCGCCCTGGCTCGGCTCGGAGAGCGTTCGAGCTAGGTCCGCGCCGGGTCCGCGCCCGGCGGCCTGAGCTGTGCTGTGTGAGACTGAGGGAGAGTGAGATGATAAAGAAAATAAAAGAATGTGAGGACTGAGGGTTTGCTCTAGCCTTACACTGTTACATGCTTGGTGATGTATGAAATATATGATATTGATATCACCAAGCGGTGGCAAGCCTTACCAGTACTTGGCTTGCAACCGCCTCGGTCCGCCTGTCCTGGGGTGGTAGATCTATTCTGAACATTGTTGTAAGTTTTGTGTTATCTTTTGTTGTATCTTCCAGAGATAACACAGCGCTAATATTGTTGTAAGTTGGTATTCTGAACATTGTTTAATCCCTGTATTATCTCTTGAAGGACCGCCTCTATCTTATCTTTGACCATTAATGACACGCCCATTTTTATGGACCCTACCAATCAAAATCTATTTTATAAGCACGATAAGTAGGTCAACCAATAGGAATACTTTATGCCATATCTGAAGATGCACCTAGCGCATACTAATCTTGGGCGTAATTAGTTATTTGAGCACTTATTACGCGCGTCATCATTATGCGCTGTTGAATTTGGATCATGAAGACAAATCACGCTTTCACTATATTGGTTAAGATGAGAGCATTAAAATCATCATATCCTAGCATGTAATATCTTAAAAAGTTCTCATCTGTGATGTTTCCGGTCAACACACAATGTTCTTCTAACTCGTCTATTGGCACGAAGTTGGTTCTGGGCAAAAAATATTGCCGCCATTATATCACCACGAAAGATACAACAACCCCCTACCTGTTGTAAATATTGTTGTAAATACCATGCAAGATAAGATAAGATAAAAGATACAACAACTTTCAGAATACCAATTATCTCGACATATCATCTCCCGTGCGCATATGCAAATGAGGATTAAATGCCACTTTATTAATAATACGCACAATTACAAGCGCACCAAAGTATGAGTGCAGGCGCGGCCAATAAGATGAGAGAAAAGATACAACATAAGATAACACAAAAGTTACAACAATGTTCAGAATACCAACTTTATCTTATCTTCAAAGATACAACAATATAACACAGGGTTCAGAATACCACCCCTGCACTCAAAATGATTCTCTTCAAATTTGATTTTTAATAATGATAATGTTCACACACAAAAAAAAAATCCATGGGTTTTCCAGTTTGCCCTGGCTTGCGCTTGTCGAGACAGAAATAATCGTCTGGTATTGGTAATTTCTTAATAAAACTGACATTTGTCAACCTTCCCCATCCCCATACACAGGCGGTACTCGCACAACGCCAACGGGGGAAGAATACTAGCGATGTTGGTACAAATGTGGTAGTACAATAACTTATCCCCTGCTTTTCTTTATTTATAATTTTCAGATCTAATTGTCTGATTCATAAATCAGACATAAGTCTTAGAAAGTTTATATTTTTCTTTCTTATATAAAATTCATAAAATTGTCATTACGTAATTCCAATGGGGAAATTTACGGCTTGCTTTATCGAATCTATCCAATTTCATCTCAGAACCAGTGAGTTGTACTGTTCAATGTATTAAAATTGTAAGCTATGACACGACCCGGCCGATATATTTCTGCCTTTCCTGGTCAATGTACTAAAACAAAGCCGATGTCCAATCAGATCATTCGTTTGATATTGGTTTATGAATATCAAAATATCAATGGGTCAGCCAAGCTGGTCTCGTACGTAGCTATTGGACGTTAGAAAGATTTCAATGAATATTCATTATACTTAAATCAAGATGGCTGACAACGAATCTTGTTGACAAGTCTGTCTCGAATTACAAATTTATTTTGTAAGTCAAAGTTCATATTTCAGTTTTTGCTATTTTACAATGACAGTGAATGTAATATTGCAGCCAAAGTGGATAGGATGAAGACGTAAAGAGTGAAAAAGATATGTGTACTAGTTAAGTAATCTTTTTTTGTCGTTAAAATTTTTCCTTGTAGGCCTAGTGCAAAATGGAAAGTAAAGAAAGTGACGTCGTAATCGAGGCAGAGATTTACACAGTGCTTCAAATACCGGAATTGGCAGATTTTCAGGTCTACCAATACCATGTAAAAACAGAAGACAAAGATGATCATGAGGCCGAGCTGTATCAAGGTATTAAAGAAGTGTGTAAACTCCTCGGGAAATTGTTTACGCTTGGTCTGACGGAATAGGTCATTTTTCGTAATGTAAGCAAATTTAATGCATGCATGTCTTTACGAATTGCCTCGATACAAATTATTTCATTCACCTGTTAAAAATAATTGTATCAAAATAGTCAGAAGGTGAATTGTTTGCATTAGTTGTTGCTAGGTAGGACAAACATTATGGCTTTCCCTACCTAACAACACATATGCAATTTGCATTCTACCTTCTGATATACAATTACATGTATTTGTAACAGGTGAATGAAATAATTTTAATTGAGGCACTTCCAAAAGACCTTTGCATTACATTCAGTTTATATGAAAATTGCCAATTGAAAAAATTGGGCCCTCTGGCATCCCAGGGGAGTAGTTTGAGAGGATTAAGGCAATTTGCCAATAGAAATTTTATGACAAAAACGTTTTTAAGAAATTCAAGCAAAAGGCCCTGAGTGCCTTTGCTGAGATTTGAAACTTCAACCCTTGGACAGATAGTTGAGTAAAAGAATGCTGTACCACAACACCTCCATTGTGATGTAAAACCTTCAACAACAACAAAGAAAAGATTTTTTTTTAATTAAAGGGAAGGAAAGGAATAAGTGATTTGATTTTGATTTTCTTCAAAGTAGTCAATAATGTATAATGATTTCTCTTCTCAGATGGCGGTTTGTACATGGACCCTACCAGCAATAGCAACAGCATGATAAGAGCACTAAAAGATGATGAGAGACTTCAAGTTAAAGTATGTGATTTTCTTATGGAACACCCTACAGCTGAGAGTGCGACTAATCCTTGTATGGGAAAGGGTTTGATGAGTGGGAATGACACAAGTCATTTATCGAATCAAGATGGTTCTCTGGAGAGGAGTATGGAAGGAAGGAATACAGAGGATCTTGCACCTCTGCACCAGACGCATGGAGAGATGAGTACGGAAGTAAGGGAAAGCGATGAAAAACTTCAAGGGACAGTACATGTAGTTCAAGACAAAGACCAGACGCTACCATGCGCTTCGCCAACTAACAACTCCAAACGTGTGAACAAAAATTGTCAGCAACATCAGTGTTTGGAGTGTGGCAAAAGTTTCTTCAAGAAGTGTTTGCTTGTGCGACATATGAGAATTCATGAAGGGAAAAAGTCGTCTGGATGTTCCGATCGTAACGCAAGGTACCGCCGAAGACTTCGGCTCAAAGAGAGCATGAGTAGACGTGAAGGTAAAAAGACGTATAAGTGTTCTGTTTGCAATAAGGTATCTTCCACAAAGGCTAAGCTTTTAATCCATATGCGGATCCACACAGGCGAAAAGCCTTTTGAATGTTCGCATTGTGACAAGAGATTTTCCGTCAAGTGCAATCTTACCAAACACATCAAAGCAGTCCACAAAAGGGAAAGGCCATATTGTTGCTCCGTTTGTGGAAAGACATATGGGCAGAAGACTCGGCTTACAGTACACATGATAGTCCACACAGGGGAAAAGCCTTATGAGTGCTCTGTCTGCAGCAAGGGATTTCCCCTAAAGACTTACCTTACACAACACATGAAGTCCCATACTAAAGAAAAGTCACATCAATGTCTTAAGTGTGACAAAAAATTTCAACAGAGACGTCTTCTTCTGCAGCACAAGATCGTTCATTCAGGAGAGAAGAATTACCAATGTGCCATTTGCGGCAAAATGTTTGCAAGAGCGGGTGATTTATTAAGTCACACGAGAACTCACACCAAAGAAAAACAATATTCATGCTCTGTGTGTAACAAAAAGTTTTCTGCGAAGAGTTACGTGAAACAACACATGAGGATCCACAGAGAAGAAAAGCCTCACTTGTGCACCGTTTGTGGACGGGGATTCTCCTATCGGCATCATCTTTCAACCCATATGCTAACACACACACAAGAAAAGCCATACGAGTGTTCTTTTTGTAACAAACGTTGTTCTCTCAAGTGGAATCTTAAATCACACATGAAAACACACACAGAAAAAAAGTCTCATGAATGTAAGTTTTGTAAAGAGGCAAATTTCACAAAAAAAGAGCTTTCACTCCACATGGAAATTCACTCAGGAGACAAACCTCACAAGTGTCTTCATTGTGATAAAGCATTCTTTAATAAGGTTGATCTTCACAAACATATGACAACTCACTCCGGAGAAAAGGCTCATGTATGCTCCGTTTGTGGGCAAGCATTCTCCCTTAAACATCATCTTTCAAACCACATGAGAACCCATACACAAGAAAAGCCCCATGAGTGTTCTGTTTGTAACAAACGCTTTACTTTCAAGTGGAATCTTCAAGATCATATGACAACACACTCAAAAGAAAAACCTTATCAATGTTCCATGTGTGAAAAGGCATATGTCACACAGTATAAGCTTTCACTTCACATAAGGATGCACAATGAAGAAAAACCTGTCAAGTGTTTTCATTGTGATAAAGCATTCTTAAATAAGGGTAATCTTCAGAATCATGAAAATCCACTCCGGAGAAAAGGCTCATGTATGCTCTGTTTGTGATCGAGCATTCTCCCTTAAACATCATCTTTCAAACCACATGAGAACCCATACACAAGAAAAGCCCCATGAGTGTTCTGTTTGTAACAAACGCTTTTCTTTAAAGTGGAATCTTCGAGATCATATGACAACACACTCAAAAGAAAAACCTTATCAATGTGCCATGTGTGAAAAGGCATATGTCACACAGTATAAGCTTTCACTTCACATGAGAATGCACAGTGAAGGAAATCCCCTTTCATGTTCTGTGTGTGAGCAATCATATTCGGATAAGAGAAGTCTGAATGGACATATGAAAACCCACTCGGAAGAAAAACCTCATAAGTGTTCTGTTTGTGATAAAACATACAAGCGTAAGGATACACTTCGCCAACATTTGAAAACCCATGCTGCAATAAAGCCTCATCTGTGCTCCTTATGTGGTAAAGCATTCTACCTTAAGCAGACATATACAATACATATGCGATCACACACAAAAGAAAAGCCATACAAGTGTTCTGTTTGTAACAAATGCTTTGCTTTGAAATGTAATCTTAAAGACCATGAGAATAGACACTCGAGAGTAAAAAAGGTTCATCAATGTATGATTTGTCAAGAGACAAATTTTACGAAGTATCAGCTTTCAATCCACATGAAAAATCATCCTGAAGTTAAACCGTTTCAATGTTCTGCCTGTGATAAGAGATTTTCCCTAAAGAGCTATCTGGCGCAGCATATGAAATATCACTCTGACAAAAAGGCTCATCAGTGCCCAATGTGCCCAAAAGGATTCATCAGAAATTCTGTTCTCCAAGAACATATCAAGACCCATGCAAGTGAAAAGCCTTTTGAGTGTGCAATGTGTGGTAAAAGGTTTTCTTCCAAGATTTCACTTGCAGTACATATGAAAAAGGTATGCAAGAAAAGACCTGACAGAGAACAACAGGATAATCCCCTTCCCAGCGTTTGATACTAAAAGCATGCTTTCTGATGATGAAATCATTGCTGATATGTGTGAGTACCAATCTCCATGTATTGAATTTGCCCCATGTTTTGTTCTGTTAAGAGATGTACAATGTAGATGTTTCTTGACTAGCAGTAAATTGCAATCAAAATAACTTTTGTCAGACAAGACTTTAGAAGAAAGTTCGATGACGTAGAATTTCAATGTAGTATTAAAGATACTATGCCCCTTTTGCAGCCAACATCAAATTCTGTAGAACTTTGCAGGAATTATGAATATGACGTACATTGTATATGGCCTAACTGTGAAATTTAAACGTTAGCAGTGTCCTAATATTCAAATCAATGCAAGGAGACCCGTTCATTTTCTAGACTTCACTGTCAGACACTATTGTGTGAGTGACTGGCTGACTGACTGACTTCTTTGGTAATAACATACATCAAATGAGCTGTAAAGGGTATACCGGTATGAGCATTTGTCTGCATCAATAACACAATTCTTGTAATGGCCAAAATTAAACCGATTGAATCTTTGTGCAGCATAAAACGTATGATCATTTGGTACAAGGGTCTGAAAATCAGACTTACTAAATGAATTGCAATCACTTAAGTAGATTCGACAACTAATAGTCGTTATTTTCCTACTTAAAGACATTTTAAATCTCTTTTGTTTTGACGAAAGTTCTAAATTAGTATACCGTAATCTTTCAAATGCCGTTGGAATCTAACCTTTTCTTTTTTTGGCCTGCAAATGGGACATAGTACGTAAGTCAGAGATATTTTCAGAGGTAAATATCTCTGAGGTCATATAGAATTTACATGTCAATGCAGTTATCGCAATTGTCCCGCTGGGCATACATGTATATGCACTATGAAAGGGAAATGGCATATTGCTGGCTCGTACCAGGGACATGCTATAGAGAAATAGCATTCTTTCGTTTCATACAAATTTGTGAAATGCTCTAATGACAGCCAATTACCATATACAAATCTTATCATGTGACATGTCACCACACTAAAAGACAGCTGAAATTGTTGTTTTAAAGATACAAGGTCTCTGGCCACTAGGGGAAATGAGTTTGGTTTTGTTGATTAAGTAGTGTTTTATAAATGTAGCTGGGAGCACTATCTAAATTGCCATGTGCATACATGTAGATCATCTCCACAGAATTGATTGCTGATGTTGACAACGTGTAGTATGAAAAGTATTTTTTGTACATGTTAGATATGGTGTCCATTGTTTCTAGCTTTTTCTCCCCTTTCCTTTTATCTTCATTCCTCGGCTGTGTAAAGCTTTGTACATTTTTTCAAACTGTTAAAACGAGTGAGAATTAGGGGGATGTATTATTTTTTGATTATTACTCTGAACATGCCCCCATCATATCATGTGGTTGGTTAAATTATCTTTTTTTTTCTTCAAATGTATATGAGCCTTATAGGCCTTGTACTCAACTTGGGTCAAAGGACCTTTTACACACTTTACAAAAATTAAACAATAAGAAGTAACTGACCAGTTGCTCAGGTCAGATCCCTAGACAGTGGACACTACTTCTTCTTTTTTTCTTTTTTAAATATATATTATGTAGGATATTTCCATTTACTTTTTTGTATAACCTTTTTTCAACTAAAGCCTGTTAGGTTTTTTTAAACGAATAATGAAGGACCATAATATTATATGCATTTTGTATTGATTATTGAAGGACAAAGTATGCCAATTTTCTCTGGTGTCATACTGTAAACCTTATTTTAATCTTTAAAGGTGCTAAAGCCAGTATGTTGTACTGTATATTTCTTTTTACTTCAACAGATAGATAAATATATCTTTGACATTGTAACATTTTGAAGACCAAAATATGTAATTTTTGTATGATTTACTTCTGTTACGAACATTGTTTTGATCTTTTATGTGCGAAAGTTGGTACATTGTAATGCATTCTTGTTTGTTTTATTTTATTTTAAAGATAGTAAGTATATCAACCGACCTTTAACATTTTGAAGAAAAAATACATTGTCTCAGATGTATTACATTTATTGACCTTGGATGGTATTCTGTAAACGATGTTAATTGTCGAAACAAGTCAATATTAAGAAAAGCCATCGGTTAAAAGATACGTCTGCACAAGCACCAAATGGTATAGTCTGTTCTGCACATTTTGAGTTTGTTGTGACAATATTAGCATTTTTTCCCCTAAATAACATGAAAGATAACATCGTTTCAGAATATGGCCGCTTATTTTGAACTTCCATGTGTGAAAATCAATATACCCACTTTGCCCAGTGTTACTGCACGTCCTATATCCAGACAGACGTTTTCAAACAGTAATTTGAAGAAGTTTAGAAGTAATATTTCATAAATCTTGCAAGACTTATGTTGGACTAAATTATAAAGGACAAATGTTTATGATGATTATTGCTATTTAATTATTATTTTTCGTGTATTTTTGTGTATTTGTTGTTGTTTGTCTTTGTTTTGTTGTTGTGGTTATTATATGTTGATGATATTCATGAGACTAGATAGAAAGTATATCGACTGAAATTTTAACATTTTGACCAATAATCCTTGACATGTGTAGTGACACTGAAATTGTTGCATTTTTATTTTATTTTTTTAATATTTTTTTTTAATGTTTATCTTTTTTCTTTTTTTTAAAATTCAAATTGTTGCATTTTTGCCAATGCGCAGCTGCTCTTTTAAACCTACTGAAAAATATTCGCAAAAATGTATTGATCTGTGCATACATGTATATTTAAGGTAAAAAGTGCTGGTTTGCTCAGTCTGATAAAAAAAAAGATAAACGATTCATTTATTATGAATAACCATGGATATGAATTCTGAATGGCGTTGACTTTGTAGGTTTTAGTGTTTAGCTGATGTCAAATTAATGATTATTAAGATACTTATTTAGATACTTATTTAGATACTTTAAAATGGTTTACGAAAATATGTTATTATATTATATCTATTTTACTGTGATTACTAAGACACTTTAAAAAAAATTATAATAATGTTCATATTATAGTTATTCTTGGTAACCTACAAAAACAAGCTATGCTTTCCAGTAGGTTTCTGTTTCATTTCATAATTTTGATCTTACTTTGTCAACTATATTCTTTATAGTGCAAACAATTGTTATATGAAATGAATAAATAAAATCAATCAATCAATCAATGCGTAATATTTCATGTTTCTTCAACTATACCAGTAGCAGTAGAAATAAAGGAAATTGTGAATTCAACAGAAGCAGTGTCATTGATACATGTACAAGAATCGTGAAATTTGTGAAATAACAACTGATAGAGAGAGAATGAAAGAAAAAGAGGGGGATGGAGGGAACCAGTGTGTGTGAATTAGAGAGAGAGAGGGGGGGGGCATTTGACGCGGCGGAGGGGTATTAAGTGTCGTGACATGAAAAAGGACATAAAAAGCGAAGTCGGGCTAACTCGGGGCCGGAGACATGTTTAGGGTTAGGGTAAATTGCATTGAGGCCGAGTTAGCCCGGATCCATTTTAGAGGGGGTAGGGCTTATTAGAAAAATGTTCGTAACTCCTGTGGGTCGCTCAGTACAAATTTCTCAGAACAGATATATAGCCAGACACCCCCTCCCCCACCACCACCACCCCCTCTGTTCAAAATATTCTCTAGACGCCCATGGGAGAACAACGTGTTGAAGAGGTTGGAGGATTGTGAAAGGAAAGAAGGAAATCACAACGTATCTCGATAAAAATAGTTTGCCAGAAATGATGCAGCGGACAACAAATTAATCAATTTGAAGCTACCCCCCCCCCCCCCTTACCTCGCTCCGGGGACGGAGGGACCGTATTCATGTTCCAAAAATCTCCAGTAAAGGGTATTTTTTTCGCAACACTAGTCCGGCTCGTAATACAAAAAAAGATCGGCCCGTATTGACTTTAAACACCGGACTTCGGGGGTGCTTTCAAAGGGAGCGAAAATGCATACGCGTACCCTAAATAACACCCAGTGTGGGGGGGGGGGGGGCTAAAACCCGCCCCTCCCCCTTCAGGAAAAATCTGGTGTGTAAAGTCAATACGTGTAACTATAGACCTTTTTCTTTTGTTACGAGCCGGAGATTTTGGGAACACGCATGGTATCCCTCCGTTCTCGCGAGGGGGGGGGGGGCCGGGGGGGCTAAAACAAGGAGAAGTGAGAGAAGAAGAAAGGGAACATCAAATTTGGCTGATGGGCTATACTTATAATCTTTAACACTACGGCAGATTATTAATTCGTTTTTAATTCGATCAATGCCCCTCTGCCCCCCCCCCCCCCCCTCCCCATTACGCTGTGTTTCTTCCATATCACGACGTTTGCTGGGGGTCAACCATTCATTCCTGCAATCTTGCGGTCAAGGCATTCAGAGGATCCAAAAGAATAATTTACAGTCGTGTAACGAGACAATCAAGAAAAAGACCCCGAAGTAGCAAAACAAGCAGAAAAGATGTCCTGACCATCCCTGGTACGAAGAGGGCGCCATCACAAAATTATGATTGTTTCAGGACAGTGACTGTCAGTCATACACCAGTTTACAGTTGTGTGCGCCATTTTAAACAAAGCTAATGACCTATAGGAGTCATGTATTTATGCGTAAATTAAGATTGCGCCCATGCAAATAATGATGACATCACTGCCTGCGCGCTGCGTTGTGCGCGCACATCATCATTTGCATGGGCGCAATTTTAATTTACGCATAAATACCAGCCCAGGACCAAAATCCAGTTGAAACCAATTGGAGCAAAACCAATTGAAACCAGTTGCCAACTGGTTTCAATAGGGAAATTGGAACAACTGGTTCCAATTGAAACCAGCTGCCAACTGGTTCCAATTGAAACCAGTTGAAACCAATTGCCAACTGGTTCCAATTGAAACCAGTTGAAACCAATTGCCAACTGGTTCCAGTTGCCTAATTGGTTTCAACTGGAACCAGTTGTTCCAATTTCCCTATTGAAACCAGTTGGCTTCAATTGGTTTCAACTGGTTTCAATTGGTTTCAACTGGTTTCAATTGGTTTCAATTGGATCCAATTGAAACTTACAGTTGGCATAAACTTAATTAGTTATAAGTTAATAAGCTCTTGCACTAATTATCGCTCATGTCAACACAGAAGCATTGTTATATGTGTCTACATTAAGTACAATGTAAAGGGCATTATAATATGCAGACCATATAATATAATTAACAAGGAAGGCATTGCCATTATATATGTTTGTATTTGATGTATTTTGTACATGGTTAGTGTTTTAATAATCAACTTTTAATCTGTGTAATTACAAAAATATGTTACTAATGAACATGCTTATCATTGCTAATTAATCTTTATATTTATCTGAAACAAATGCATTACTTGCAAATGAAAATTAATTAATAAGTGCATTGTAAATCAAAATAAATTACATAAAACATTGATCTGCACACAAGCAGATAATATGCAAATTAACTGGTTTCAATTGGATCCAGTTGGGTAACTGGAAATATTTCCAATTGGAACCAATTGTGTAACTGGAAATGAATTCTAACTGGAACCAGTTGGGTAACTGGAAATGACTTCTAACTGGAAATGAATGCTAACTGGAACCAATTGGGTAACTGGAAATGAATTCTAACTGGAACCAGTTGGGTAATTGGAAATTACTTCTAACTGGAAATGAATGCTAACTGGAACCAGTTGGGTAACTGAAAATAAATTCTAACTGGAACCAGTTGGGTAACTGGAAATGACTTCTAACTGGAACCAGTTGGGTAACTGGAAATGACTTCTAACTGGAAATGAATGCTAACTGGAACCAGTTGGGTAACTGGAAATGAATTTTAACTGGAACCAGTTGGGTTACTGGAAATGAATTTTAACTGGAACCAGTTGGGTAACTGGAAATGATTTCTAACTGGAAATGAATGCTAACTGGAACCAGTTGGGTAACTGGAAATGAATTCTAACTGGAACCAATTGGGTAATTGGAAATGAATTCTAACTGGAACCAGTTGGGTAACTGGAAATGACTTCTAACTGGAAATGAATGCTAACTGGAACCAGTTGGGTAACTGGAAATGAATTCTAACTGGAACCAATTGAGTAACAGAAAAATCATCTTACTGTTTCCAGTTGAACTTCTTATTGGTTTGAACTGGAAATGAGTACCCATAACAATATTTTCCAGTTCGGCAATTGGTTTCAACTGGAAATTTTATATTCCAATTGAAACCAATTGAAACCAATTGAAACCAATTGAAACCAGTTGAAACCAATTGAAACCAGTTGGAGATTTCAACTGGTTTCAATTGGATTTTGGTCCTGGGAGAGGTCAGAGGTTATTGGCCCCAATTTTGGGGCCAATGACCCGAGGTCAACTGTCTGCGCATGCGCACTGATACAACTGTAAACTGGTGTATTGCTGCCAGATGGTGATCTAAGTTGGTCAAGAGAAGTGACGACAATTTTGAGAGTTTTTGATAGCCCTAAGTGTGAAAAATAAATTAATCCTGTTACCAAAACCAAAATTGTATGATTCTCCGTGATTATTTTGTTATAAGGACCAAAAAACTGTAAATAAAGAAAATAAAAAATGAGAAGATAGGAGAAAACAGAACCTCGGTGTTTGACTGGATGTCACCGGATGAGGAGTTCATATGATCACTTGGCACCCAGTATCCACTTATAATGGTAATTTTTTTTGTAAACATAAGATTTGTGACAAAAATCCAATAGCCAACAATAGAACTTGAAATTGAAAATGACAACATTACAGCAAATATTAGCCCAATTTCGGGCATTTTCGGGGTTGAATTTTGACCTTTTTTTTTTTTTTTTTTCTTTAGGAGGGTGGGGGTGCTGTTTAAAATGCCTTTTGTTAATATTATTCTGCTGGTACCTGCAAAACTGTTTCATGATTTAATTGGCAAAAATCGAAGTGGCAGATATAGGGGCACACCCCCCTCGCGTGCCCCCCCCCCCCCCCAATTCCATGCACACACCCCTCATCGATCAACCCAATCTGCCACCAATATATCTATTCTTGCAACCCTAGCAGTCATATTTTATCCAATGAAGGCTTGGCAAACAGCAAATCTTTCTCCTGAGCCTTCTTCGATATATCTTCCTTCTCCTTTTCTCTTTATTCGTGTCTTTTCTTTTAGTTTTGTCCATTACTCACTGTTTTTCAAGTCTCTTTTACTATATTATGAGCGTGGAAGCGTCCGTAAACAGAGAGCGAATTTCTTTGTGACCTTGACAGGTTCAGGTACATTAATTTTCCTGAAATGTAAAATGCATTTAAATTACATTCACATGGTTTCACTCTGAAGTTGCGGTCACTTTATATTATTTTGCTCTGCTTTATAACGGTCTCTCGATCGAGTCACTTGTATCAACAAGTCCTTTCATCCGTTGTCCCACGCCTATGAAACACATTTCTGAGATATAATACTTCAAGCGACTTCTTCAAAACAAACAAACATCCGAAAACATATCTCGACACGTCTTAATTTGGCCTTAGACTATCAAACTAGGCACCTTGTATCCTCTGGAAACGGCGCCATGGGCGGCCGAGCGACTTACAAAGTGGTGGGGGGGCACCAACAAAAAAGGGCACTTTCTGGAGAAAAAAAGGGCACCTACAAAGGGAAATCTCAAGGCGAAAATATACAATCTTTTAGGCATTGGTATATACCCCTACATTGTGATTACATTTTCAGGGATGATTTAAATATTTGTTTCACTTTATACACCATACAAGATTTTGATTAAGCATCATGCTTTGCAGTTGGATGTGATGGTCTGAAAAATTATTTGCGAACGAGCGAAGCGAGCAAGGAAATTGTTTAATACTTGTGAGATCGCAATGCGAAAAATTACATCTTATAAAGAGGAAAAACCCAATCCTGATGGGGTTATAAGCACATTCTCATAACGGAAGACCGAAAAAGCCTTTGATAAGTAACATAAGTATATCATCTATAGATGCATACGAGCCTAGCGAGCAAGCTTTGGGAGAAATTGCTCTTAGTCGCTTGAAATTGGGGCGCCTTTTTATGATGAGAGGAAAAGGGGACACTTATCAGAAAAGAAAAGGAGCACGTGTCAAAGTACAAAGAGTAATTATCAGAGGTGAAAATGGGGCACTTCTTACACCCTCAAAAAGAGGCACTCACCAGGGAGGAAAAAAGTCAGTCATAATAATAATATAATAATAATAATAGCCTAATAGTCCACTCCAAATTTTATTAAACCGAAACGGAAATTCTTTTTGCCCAACTGATCGTGAGCCCGGCAGCCACTAAGCAGCGCCAGATCGACGTTGCTCTATCCCTTATTGTTGAACGCCAAACAAGGTAGCAACAACTCCCATCTTTTAACGTCTTTTGGTATGACGCTGCCGGGGTTCGAACCCACGACCTCCCAGTTGTGAGGCGGACGCTCTACTGACTGAACCATTTGTCAACAGAAAATGGGCCCCCATCAGATTTTGATAGGGGCATTTATAAGAGGTAAAATGGGCATTTGTGAAAAAAGGAAAGGTCCCTTATAAGAAAGGAAAAGGGGCACATATCATTTTTAAAAGGGAAATTATCAGAGGTGAAAAGAAGCACTTATCGTACCTGAAAAGGGGCAATGACCAGATATGAAAAGGGGCACTTATGTGAATGAAGAAGGTGCCCTTGTAATAAAGAACAAAATGTGCATTAGTTGAAAGAAAATGGGCGCCGATCAGATTTTAAAGGGGCATTTATTGGAGGTTAAGGGGGGAACTTATCTGAAGTGCAAAGGAGTAATTTCTCGTACCTGAAAAGGGTCATTTACCAGAGAAGGGGCACTTATGAGAAGGGAAAGGGGCTCTTTTTAGTGGGGCACTCATCATTAGGAAAAGGGGCACTTATTATAAAGGAAAAGGGGCACATGTGAAAATATAAGGTGCGCTTATCCGAGTTAAAATGGGTGTAGCTATTAAAAGGGGAAGGGGCACTTATTACAAAGAGAAAGGGGCACTCGAAAAATTAAAAGAGGCACATCTCAAATTTGAATAGGGCAATTATCAAAGGTGAAGGGGTCACTAATTAAAAGTGAAAAGGGGCACTTCTCGTACCTGAAAAGGGGCACTTATGAGAATGGAAAATAGACACTCGAAGGAAAGGAGGCACGTGTCCAAATAAAAGGGGCACTTATCAGAGTTGAAAAGGGGAAGAGGCACTTTTAAAAATTAATAGGGGCACTTGTCAAAGTAAAAAGGGCACTTTTCCTATGTAAAAAGGGGCACTTCTTACAAAGTTAAACTGGGGCACAATTCCTATGTAAAAAGGGGCACTTTTCGGGTGCTTGAAAAAGTTGGGGGCACTGTGCCCCCCTGCCCCCGGGAGGGCCGCCTCTGAACGGCGCTATATAAATCTAGTTATTACAAAACTATCAAAATGTATTATGACTGTTATTACCTTAATTTATGTATTATCTTATCTAATTCTCTCCTATCTCATTCACCCTCCCCCGATCTCTCTAGCTCTCTCTCTCTCTCTCTCTCTCTCTCTACCTCACCCTCTCTCGATCTCTCTCACACTCGCCCTCTCTCTCCCCCCCCCCCCCTCTCTCTCTCTCTCTCTCTCTCTCTTTCTCCCCTCTCTCTCTCCTCTCTCTCTCTCTCTCTCTCTGCTTTTCTCCATATTGTTATTCTTTGAATAACCTTTCACCTATATTACATACTGAACTATCGCGTTTACAGTTACTCTCTGCTAAATCCTTATTTCCTATTCTGTAGGCCATATAACGGTGTCGAAACAATGCAGCACTCCGACAACCGTAATCTGCTGAAACCCGCTCGGTGTGAATGCAAAAAGAATTTGTTTACCCTATGAAAGATACTTTCCGTCCCTAAAAAAACAATACCATTCTTCTGATCCTCTCCACAAAGAAAATAACCGCTTGAATGATCTCCAAGCGGGTGAAGGTGTAGGCCTATTTATAGATCGGTGCTACTGTACACAGGTTCGAGGCACTATACCCGGCATTATACAGTTACTGTAGAAGTTAGTCTTCGTGTACTTTCAGTATTTGTTAGCTCCCGTATAATACCTCAGTGGGAAGCAGCTTTTGCAGCTCTGAAAAAGGGTTAGGTAGAGAGAGCGAGGATAATAACGTCCCTCATTCGGAAATATAGAGAGGTGTATCTGCATTTTCAACTACTGTATAAACCTTGTTACTAATGCAGAACATATTCACATTTAATCCACGGCGAAGTTCAATATTTCGAATTGAATCCCAGCGGCAGGTCCTTTCCCGCAAAGCCTGAATTTCCTGTTGAATATAATGAACTAATTATCCGGATTAGCGAAGTAAAGCTGGTAGATCAGGGTGCTTTTCCTGCAAGTCTTCGCTCTCACGTAACAGCAGACGACATCTGAACGATACTGCGTGCGATCGCATCCGTGATTTGGACTTTTTGTTAATATCAAGGACGAAATTGCACCTTTTGTTTTCTGCAGAGTGTTTTTGATCTTATCGAAACTTGATACGGATCTATTCGGATTAAGCGCATAAGGTAAGGCTTACTTGTCATACATATTAATCATCTAGCCTGGATTAAACCTACAACTCATTGATTTAATGTGCAGTTGCCTCTGCCGGCTAGCTGTTACAGTCGAAATGGACCTGTTGTTTGCCATTTGGACAACAAAATATCTGTATATCCCGTACCTATATGATTTAAAGTAGAAACGAGAGAATGAGAGGGGTGGGGCCGTGTCGTCTGGGCTGAAGAGATATTTTTGAAGTATAGTTTTATTAGTGAAACCTGTACTTAGGAGGGGGGCCGGTGGGGGGGGGGCGAGTTAATCATTGGAACCCTCGGGGTAGGCCTATATAGCTCCCCGGTATAGCTGATTTGTCATGGCCATAGTGATATTTCAAAATTCACCCGTCGAACCGAGCTCTCATACAAGTAGGCTATATAGGCCTACAATAACACACGCCAATAAAATTTCAAAAAACATTAAACAGAGACAAAATGAATGTTTTATTCAATAATCTAGTGAGACTCCACAAAACAAATGTTAGAGCCTAGCCTTAATTTGCATAGAGCATAAAGATATAAGATTTTCACAACTTTTTTCTTAACTAAAACGCTTTCAGTTTGACTGTCATTTCTGTTCGTACAAACTTTGTGTTATTGATCCATACGGTGTGTTTAAATGCGGGTTGTTTGCCTTTAGAATGTAACGGGCAAGTCGTCTTGTGTTTGGGATCACGCGGAGACAAAAGAGAAGGTGAGGGGTGGATCTATAGATTTGCAAAAATGGAGGGGGGGGGGGTGGGGTTGTATTTCGAAAACTTCTTGACATTAGCAACACTAAGGGGCAGCCGGGAGGGGAACGTGAAAAGAAAACGCAACGACCCACATCGACATGCACCGCCGTCTAATTATCATAAATAAATAATTGACTTGAATTTCATTCACCAAGTAAAACACCCTCCCTCAGTGCCCCTATATTAATATCTGAATCCAGACCACCGTGGGCCAAGTTTTACTGTTATGATCGGTGGTCTTGACACTGCAAAATTGCACAGATTAGATCTGATTATAAGGATAAAGGGGCCTCCACCAACCCTTTAGTCCCATGTGCGAAACATGCATGAAATATGCAATAAACACTATGTAATGTAATCATTATGAGTCAGCAAGTATGTTGAGTGAGAAGAGAATTATTATCATCGCCAGCTCCTGTTTCTATTTTGGTCGTAACGAAAGAAATGATTACACAAAGTCATGTTTGAAAATGAAAAGGGTGCATGATGTTAATGTTGTCGATTCTATGATAAAGTTCTCTTCAAATTGGCTCTCTCACTCTCTCTATCTCTCATGCTCCACTCCTTATGTGGTAAATTATTATATCTATTGGACCCGATAGATATCGCTCATGTGTCGCGCAGTCCCATATACATCTTTCTGTGTACAGTGCTTGTAACTTTACCAAGACTGGGCCAAATTTCTTATCATTTTGATGATTCCAGAACCTTGCTGTACACACCAATGCTAGATGATCAACCTTTACTGATTGATTCCACAACGTTTCTTTCACAATGCATGACCATAACTGGTCTTTATCTTTAAAATGATCTAAAAACGAACGAGAGTGTAATTAAACCTAAACATTCAAGTTGTGTGCAACTATTTACAAAATAATGTATTTATTTCCCCTATAATATTGTTATAGAGCATGCAAATGCAATGACTATAGTAAAAACAAAGGAGGTGTACTCAGCTCCTTGGTGAAATCGATGTTCATGTGACACCACACATGAAGGTTATTATTCAGTGTGCGATGTCCACTGCCTTTTACGTGGTACAGTATTTTAGTAAACCAACTTGTTGTTACTTTTGCAGGTGGTTTTAAGTACGTGGTACGTGCATGAACTGGGCGCATTATGGGGAAAAACTATACCCAAGACATTATATTAAAGACGGATCCAATATTTTACATGTATTACATCTTAGACAATGTTCTAAACTCTCTCTATATATAATAATTACAATGTCCTCTCCTTATGGATATTTTTTTCAAAAGGTTAAACAAAATATCTCCACCGGCGAATCGAACCAGGGTCACTGGCTGAGAAGGTATATGCCAATGCATTGTAACCAATACAACGGAGATGCGCCATTGGTTTCGGCGACAAAAGATTCGTTCTTCAAAATAATGTATGGATGTTTCTTTCCTTTTACCTGTTGTCAATGAATGAACAATAATACTCGGTATCCAGTCTGCATATGTGTTATGTCGGGCAAGTCCAGGGCAAGCTTTGGGATTGTCATGAACAGCCTTTAATGTTTACAAAATATGCATAACATTTGAATAATAATTATGTTAGTAAATCGGTCTATTTACCTATTATTGTAAAATCTTCAACCTTCATTAATAATTTCCTTTTGTTTTAGGCGCAGGCGAGTTTTAATAAAAAAAGCTGCATGCCTCAGCTGGATTGAAGCGAATTCTTTGGGAGGACAGCAATGGGGAATTTTGATTATCTAATTTCCTTTAATTTTGCATTGACGGTATACGTCCACGAGAGTATAGCCAAAGTCATTGTATTGGTTATTCCTCACTTTTATAATATACAGTGCGTCCCAGAAAAAACGAACTGAGAATTATCGATGTTTTATTATAAATTAATCACAATTGAAATTAATAAATGACACATAATATTTGTAAAGCTTAGACCCTCCTCTTTCATTTGGTACAACTCATATATGATGAATATTACACGCACGAGTGATTAAAAACAATTTGAAGGAAGGGTACCAAAAAAGTCATTTGGCGGGCAGTATCTGAATTTCAAAGAGAAAATAACATTTTGAAACATTATACTAAAAGAACCTGTCTACAAAGACCACTTTTTTGTTTCCCTATATAAATGTGATAGTTAAAAATATACATCTTTATCTATTGAAACATAAACTAAAGGAACCTGTCTACAAAGACCACTTTTTGTGTTTCCCTGTATAAATGTGATAGTTATAAACATCTATCCATTGAAACATATAAAGGAACCTGTCTACAGAGACCACTTTTTGTGTTTCCCTAATGTGATCGTATAATAATATACATTTATTTATATCAATAATATAAGGGTCGAGTCTATAGTAGGCAAAATATAAATGAAAGACCACTAGACTGTATGCAGGACGTATAGCTGATATCACCATTTTTTTTTTCTCTTATTGTAGCCAAAGTTCCGGCATTTTAGCCTTTTATGTATAATATTTTATATACCTCATACATAGATTGTCATTCACTGATTGGTCAAAACTATATCACATGACAAGGAGCATTTCGATCTATCATTGTGTCAGAGGGTTTGATAGCTACTATCAACCCCTGTGATAGGACTCCTATAACCCCTCCACGACTTTTGCACACAGAGCGTACAAGATTTCAAATGCGCGCTCAATCCATGCAATACACCAGTTTACAGTTGTGTGCGCCATTTTAAACAGAGCCAATGACCTAGAGGTCATGTATTTATGCGTAAATTAAGATTGCGCCCATGCAAATTTTGATGATATCACTGCCTACGCGCTGCGTTGTGCGCGCACATCATTATTTGCATGGGCGCAATCTTAATTTACGCATAAATACCAGAGGTCAGAGGTTATTGGCCCCAATTTTTGGGCCAATAACCTCTGACCTCTGTCTGCGCATGCGCACTGATACAACTGTAAACTGGTGTATTTACGCTGGACCGCAGTAACTGTATTATCTTACTTGGATTTCTTTTAGCGCTGGATTTGAAACTGTTTTGAGCTTTAAAAGACTGTAAATATATTACTGTGAGGAGCATATAGACTCTTGATATTGGATATATTTTCTAGACCTATTCATGAATCAACGAAAAGGATGAGGTATATAAAACAAATATGGACTGCTCTGTATTTCGGATTGTGGAGGAAATTGTCACTCCCTCGGTTGTGTTCATACCGGCCCTTCTATCACCCCTCGGCTTCGCCTCGGGGGTGATAGGAGGGCCGGTATGAACACCACCTTGGGAGTGATAATTCCCACCATCATCCTCATGAGCAGTCAGTATTTGTATAATATTAGAGAGAGAAAGAGAGAGAGAGAGAGAGAGAGAAGGGGGCGCCGCCGCCGTGGTAGTAGGCCTATAGTGTATAATATAGTGCAAGAGATTTTCATTTGGCTCAATAATATTATTACGTTTATTAGGCATGCAATTGGTTATCATGTTGTGAAATTTCCCCATTAATGATTTTATTTAAAGAAAACAAATATTTCCTGAGCTCCGATTATAGCTCCGAGGTCATTTTCCTTATACACTTGCTACATTATTAACTTCAACCCTGAACTCAAAACTATACCACGGGCTATTAGTCATAACCCTACACCTAAAACTAACATAAACCCCAATTTCATCCCTAACCTAGGCCTACTTCCAAAAACTTACGCCCGGCTTTCGGATGTTTTTAAAGACCAAACAATAATTGTCCGACCATATAGGTTTGTCAGCTTACAGAAAGGCTTTGCTCAAATTTCTGTTTGAGTAAAAAAAAAAAAAGGGGGGTGAAAAATGAATTTCAAATATCTGATAATTTTCGTGGTAAGAATTCCGACAGCATGATTATTATACATCCCGGAGTGGTTTTACTAGAAATATTTGAAAGGGGGGCTTTGGGCTACTTGCGTTCATTTTCTATAATGTACCTCATTATTTTAACTTAATATAATAAAGATGTCTAATGGCGGGGGGGGGGGAGGATTGAACAACTTGTATTTAAATGGTGGCGCTCAAAGAATTCGGGAGGGCTTGAGACCACCCCCCCCCCCCCCTATAACTGCTTTGCTGTAATCTTTATATCCACGTGTGGTTGGCCCATGGTGTAACCAAACATCGAGTAATCTTACCTTACTCGGTGAAAGGTTGTAGGAACCCTAAATATAGGCCAATAACTCTGATCTGCGGAAAAGCCCTTCACGTCAAGGCTTCCGCTACAGATTAAACGTCCAGGATATGAGTCTCGAAGCACCT